AAATTGCAGTAATATGTTTATACTTTAAAAGCATCTTACATGCATTATCAACATTTATCACTGATAAAGAAGATTTATACTGTCACCAGGAACATATATATTGTTAGATATACTGTTCCCAGCTGTCACATTGTATTGGATTTTGACATTAAAATTTGTCAAAAAGTAATTTTGAGTTTCTGTATCAAATATTTTTTGCTTTTTCTTTCTTTTACATATATCTTTTGGTTTCCATTTCTAGTGTTTATATTTATTTACCATGCATAGATGTATTTTGTCACCTGCCTGAAATTTTATTTGTAGTTGATCTCCAAAACCCGGAATTACCCTTATCCGCTTCCGGAATCGGACCCGATATTGTAATTGTCTACACGGCATCCATTGTTTTTCAATGTTGTTTTTGTCAGTCAGATACGATTTTACTCGAATTTACACATTACTTGTAGGCGATTATCTGCATAAAGCTAGCGGTTGAACAAAATGAACATCGCTGTCATGAATAATAAAGATGAAAATACGTTTTGAGATCGTTTATTTAGAGACTTTGGTAAAAAGGTTTGCAAAGTTATTTTTAATTTTCTTTCAAGTGAAAGGTCCGTCGGGCGTAGCTAGTAACCAAGTCGAGAGTCCGATTGCAAAAGTGGAAGGTCGCGGACCTCGGACCACCGCTAATTTGAACCCCTGCCTCCAAATTGAAAAGATACGAAAATTTCGTCTTCTAATTTGAAATTGCCGCCAACAGCATGAACAGTGGAACTTATTAATAGACTACTGACGTAGTTGTAACACGTATTGACGACAAACAATATTCCTACGACTTTTGCCATTTGGGAAATCTAAACTACTTGTCTTTAAAGATTTTCGGCGATTAAATATTTCATACAATTGTTCTTTGACATCTTTGCCAAAAGCACAGGGGATAATAAACTACATAAGGATTCCTAATGTGCTCTACTTCCTATGTGCAACTTCAAAACTTTTGGGTGGTTCGACGATCATTTAAGGTTTTTTCTGGTCATATTTTTGTAATCCAGAATTAAAAGTATGAAAAAACTATTCAATTAGTTATAAATAACATTATATCCAGCTAGATAATAACAATGGCACGTATTTCAGCATTTATTGGGTAGAACACAAATCTAGGGTGCTCGCATAAGGCAGCTTAACTGCCTAAAAAATGAGCAGTGCCTTTTCCTTTCATAAGAAAGTGCCCTGCCCTCCACTGGCACCCTGCCCCTTTTGATTTCTAGCTGGAGCACTGATGAGGATCCTCCCGAACCTGTTCTAGGTTGTAAGATAGACTCAGATTGTATACCTATTTTCAAAGTAACTGTGCTAAATATTGCTTTATTCAATATATATCTAAAACAACACGTATGATTGCTTCCAGTGTCAGACCACCAATTCACCCACTCCAATTTAGAACATATGTAAAAGTAGCCCTTCCCTGACAAAAATAGTTCTTTTGATGTCATTGTACTTAAACTAACCAACAAATTTGCAGAAATGAAACTTTTGTTGAAAGAGAAATATATGTAAACCATTTTGAGCCTAAATTTACTTGTCCATGAGTTTGCATTAAAAATTGAGGATTAATGCGCTCCATAGTATACTTATTTAAGATTTCCAAAAAACCAGGGGTTATTTTTAGCAGTACTTGTCTTCCGAACGTTAGTATTTTGCTACAAGACTATAAACATATGTTTAATAAACAGCTGCGCCATGAGCGCATGATACACCCGTCGCATTTTCAAAGAATAAAGTTCAATTACTCTATGTCATATCAGAAATTTATAAAAATCAAAAGGGAGATTACATCATTAGATATAAACAATTCACCAAAGTTTTCATGAGAACTGCTGAAAGCATTTTTGGGTTATTGTCCGAATACTGGAAAATCCCCCCTTTTCTAATGAATAAAATTCCATAACTCGGAAACGTAAAACCTAAAATTTATAAAAATTGAAATGGAGCTTACGTCAATAGATATAAACTATTCACCAAAGTTTCATTAGACCTGCTGAAAGCATTTTTGAGTTCTTGTCCGATAACTGTTAAAAAACCCTTTTTTTAATGAATAAAACCCCGTAACTTGGAAACGTATAATCTAAAATTTATAAATTTCGAAAGGGAGCTCATGTCAATAAATATAAACAATTCACCAAAATTTCTTGCAAATTGGTGAAAGCATTTTTGAGTTATTGTCCGAAAAACTGGAAAATCCCCCTTTTTTTAATGAATAAAATACCATAACTCGGAAAGTAAAATTTAAAATTCCAAAAAAAACGAAAGGGAGCTCATGTCAATAGATATAAACAATTCCCCAAAATTTTATGCTAATTGGTTAAAGCGTTTTTGAGTTAATGTCCGACATGTTGATGACGAACGGACGGACAACGGAATACCATGATATGTTCCGTAAACGGGCGTAAACGGGCGTATAAAAATTGGCATGTGGAAAGGTGATACATGTACAATTCAGGATATATACCTGGTTTCTATGAAGTTAAACTTAAGGTAAAATACTTAGAAAGCTGTAAAAATTGCAAAATTTGGTTGAATAGATAGGGATTTTGAATTGTGGTCTGACACCTTTAAAACGAAAAGTGGTGACACCAAAAAATCAGAAAACAATTGATTTTTTTGTCTTAACTGATCATTTGAAATGCAAGTAGTCACATTTCAACCTTTTTGGGGCAAAAAAGTTACATATTGCAAAATTAGAGCCTTAAACCTGAAATTGTGCTATTTATACATATGTAGCTTTTTCCACCCTTACAATATATATGCATTCATATAAAAAAATGACTGATATTGTTATGAATGCACAGTAACTTGTTTCTGTGGTATAAAACATTAAAACATATGTTGTTTACTACCAAAAAAATTGTCGTTTTGAAAATTTTATGAAATTATTTGATTTTTAACCATTTTATCATCATGATCATTGCGTCATTCCATGTATTTGGCACATAGCATAATAGCCTAATGCAAAAACTGCATAAACTCACCCCAATCCCATAAATTGTCTCCAATGAAAGTTTTCTACTTTAAACTTTATTGACTGATAGTGAATAAAATTGTTTCATGACCATAACTGCATTATTGATCAATAAATGGTCCATCACTGACACCTGATGAAAAAAGGGGGGTCAATATTCCTTCACACTTCAATACCTTTGATTTTTTACTAAACTCATTGTAATTTAAGTTGTATAAAGTCTTTAAAGCAGTAGGACAAACAAGGAAAAATCAACCAAAATTGATCTTTATATTGAAAGTTTATGTTCATGTATTCAGAAATTACATTTCAAGTATTTTCTATTAAAGTCATACATTACAGTCAGTTTAAATTGAGCTGTGAATTTTGCAATATAAGTTACAAGATGATAAGATATGATTTTATTTTCTACACATTGATCAAGGATGTTGAATTAAGCAGAACAAAAGACTTCTGATAAACTTTATGTCTCTTTACAGTTTAGGTGTCAGACCACCAATTCACCCACTCCAATTTAGAACGTATAAATGTAAAAGTAGCCCTTCCCTGACAAAAAATTGTTCTTTTGATGTGATTGTACTTAAACTAACCAACAAATTTGCAGAAATGAAACTTTTGTTGGAGGAGAAATATATGTAGGTATCAGGTCCGTTCGCGCCTAATACACTTTCGCACCCTTCACGTTCGCCCCCTATGTTCGTTAGCACCCTACACGTTCGCACCCAATTTTTATTTAAATTCAAGTTTAATTATTAGATATTTTTATATGTATATACCCAAAAAAAAAATTTTTCCTGAATAAAAATTGGGGAATCATTACATGTTTTTTTTTTTTTCATGTTTTTATCAATTTGAAGATTAATTATTAAATGTTAATTATGTACAAAAGTATGATTACTGCTAATTAATATTTATACACAGCTAAATTTGGTATTATTGTTGTTTGTTTGAAAATCATGATTGTTATTTTAACTTGCTTTGACGTAAATACTACATGTATTTAGCTTGGTATGAGAAAACATTGACGATTTTAAAAGAAAAACATGAAAGATAATTAACAGCTTGGCCCCTTTGATCTCACTTTATTTTGAAACAATGAAAAAAAAATTTATATCACAACACTAACCAAAACATAATTTAAAGATTTATTCAGCACCAAAAAAAAAACTTGAGGATCTCACTTTATTTTGAAACAATGGAAACATATATTTATAGCAATACACTAACCAAAAGATGATTAAGATTTATTCAACACAAAAAAACAAATGTTGTCAGAATCTCACTTTATTTAGAAACAATGAAATTTTTTTATAGCAATACACTAACCAAAACATGATTAAGATTTATTCAACACAAAAAAAATGTTGTCAGAATCTCACTTTATTTTGAAATAATGAAAAAAAAAATATTTACAGCAACATGAGCAATACACTTACCAAAACTCGATTACAAAATTATTAAACACAAAACCAATAAAAAGGGTGCGAACGGATTTTAGGTGCAAAAGTGAAACAACGTGAATGGGCGCGAACAGACCCGGATTCATATATGTAGACCATTTTGAGCCAAAATTTACGTGTCCATGAGTTTGCATTAAAAATTGAGGATTAATGCGCTCCATAGTATACTATTACTTATTTAAGATTCCCAGAATACCAGGGGTTAACTTTAGCAGTACTTGTCTTCCAAAGGTTAGTATGTCGCTACAAGACTTTAAACATAGATTGAAAATTGGCATGTAGAAAGGTGATACATGTACAATTCAGGATATACCTGGTTTCTATGAAGTTAAACTTGAGGTAATATATTCAGAAAGCTGTAAAAATTGCGAAAATTAGTTGAATAGATAGGGATTTTGAATTGGTGGTCTGTCACCTTCCTGAAATACAAGTCTAATAAACATTACACATGGAAAAATTATATTGGTTGTCTATGAAAGAGAATTTAAAAAGGGCAACACAATCTACTCCTATATAGTCCACGAAAGTTAAATAATTACTTTCTGTAATGCTATTGTTTGTTTCTCATTTAGGTCACCAACATGACCACTCATTCTACAATGCCAGTCTTTTCAATATGTTAAACTGTCACAAACACACTGTGTTGACAATTGTATCCACTTCCGGCTACAACTAATTCTAATACACGGAACAAAGATGGTTTTGTAAAACCGGCTTTTTGATAAGATAAGATTAAATGATCACTTTTCTCTATTTAATTTCAAATGTAATAAGCCTAACAACAAAATAATCATGTTGACATCAGACTCAGTTTCAATTTGTAAACAGAGCTGTTAAGTTTTTGTAGATTTTCAGGGCCACTACTTTTTTCTTTTTTTCTTTTTCCAAATTAAAGGGCCCATTAAGAGCATAACATTAACAAATGATTAATAACAGCATGACATAAACATTACAGAGTGATTAAAGAAACATAAAATAATAGTTCAGGAGGATTTGTTTTGGATCGGTTATTTATTTTTGTGAAATTAAAGGACAGATTATTTATTTTCTGCACTGTTGAAGCATGATTTTTCATTTTCATTAAAACAAGGGACTGATTATTTATTTTCACAATTATATTTTAATATAATATTTGAAAACGCACAATTTTTAAATTCATTTTTTTATTCTTAAATATATATTACATGTATAGTCAAGTCATTATGTACCACCATATAATCAGAGTTAATCATCATCCTCTGGAAGTGAATCTTCTGAATTCCAAACTGCATACATTGCATACGTACAATGTATTAATTTTGCTGTAACTATAGTTTTCTTTAAAAGTAATGACAAAGAAATTCGCCGAGCGGAGCGAGGCGAAAAAAATTTCGGCAAAGGGTTTGGGTGGCCGCAAGAAGCTATAGAAAAAATGACACAAAATACTGCATTCTGCGCGTTTCCCAGACCCTTTCTTAATCTTAATCTGAAACGCAAGTTCTGCGTTCTTTACTTTTTCGACAATATTTTGGTCTCAAAGCAAAATATATAAATTCAGTGTAAGACTTTTAGTTTTTAGGTACAACATCAAAAGACTGTAGGATAAAGCAAAAATGTAATTCACATAGTAAAGTATGTGGCTGCTGTTTTTTTTTCTTTTTTTTTCTGTTTCTGCTTGCAGAAAATCTTTTATTCCTGTCAATTATGTGGGTTTTTTTCAAATTAAGTTAAGAGGGGGCTGATTATCATTGATATATATAACTATGTCAAGTAAGTTTTTATAACACATTTCAATTACAACTTGATGTAGTTCCTTACTGGGATACAATTTAAAGTAGTTTGTAAAATTAGATAAGAAGTCCTTCAAATTAATAAAATTTAGATTTAAAACAAAAATTACTATATTACCGATGGGATGCAACACTAAGAGAATAAAGAAGGGCAATCAATGAACAAAGACAAATCAGGGAACAGATAAAACACAAAGCGACAAACAATAGACAACTAATACTGAAAACTAAAAATAAATGAGAAACATTGATCCTGAAAAAACGGGGGCTACGTCAGAGGGTGAACAGACCTTGCTTCTTGCAAGACACTCGCCGTGAAAACAATCTGATATGAAGACAAGCTTTTGTTTTTAAAATTTCCAACATGTGGCATTTGCCTCAATGTAGTTACGTCCCTGTAATAAAAGTGGGGTAAATGTTCTTGAGACAATATACCTCAAGTTAAACTTTGATGAAACCCATTTTCAGACATTTCAAGTACATTAATATTCATGATATTTATACATTGTATTATTTAAAGATTTGGGAAGTTTTCCCGAAAAAATTTGAAAAAAAGGTGAATTTTGGAAGAATCTGGTTCCATCTCATACTTTAGAATAGCATTTATAAAATGGCTTAAAAGACCTGCCGAGTTATTTATTTTCAATACATTGTAAGTCAGGTTATTTATTTTCAAACAACCACAGAGCAAACCATTCATTTTTTGTTATTATCAAGGCTGAGTTATTTATTTTCAAAATCCTCCTGGCCCCCCAGAATATCAAATGGTCGTCCCCTTATTGTAAAGAGGGCATTCCAGAAGAAAGTGCATTTCATTTTCAATAGAATTTGAATTACAATATAAACATATCCTCTCATGTCGAGGTAATATTTCATATTTACCACATACATTGATAAATCGTTCATGTCTACTCTCACAAAAACACGTCACATATGAAATGCTTAAGGTCAAGGAACAGTAAAGGGGCTATGTCGCAGATTTTGCTAAAATTTTGCATACAACCTTGGCCCGTTGAACTACAACTGAAAATCGAAAAAATAATGCATTTATCTCTTTTATTATCTGAAATATTGCAGATTGATTTTTTTTAAGATGGGTGAATATTTGTATAGAAAACACATAAAATCGGCGAAATACCTTCTAAAATTTGTCTTAAAATCGCCATAGATTTTTCTTAAAAAAACTATATGTTGTTGACACATAAATTTCTGTTTTAATGATGTGAAATAATCATATGGTCACCGACTTCGTTTTTTGTCTAATAATCAATTTGTTACCTTGTTGGTAGTGAAACACGTCAAAAATCAACGTTTTAAGGCCTTCAACGCGGTGACGTTACGATTATTTCGACGTTTTGTTGGTTTTTTTCCCAAATAACACAGCTTTGAATGATGTATACCGTAAAAACGAAGTCGGTGACCCTATCTTCATTTTGCATCATTATATCGGAAATTTATGTATCAACAACATATAGTTTTTTAAGAAAAATATCTGGAGTAGATTAAGAGATTTGGCGATTTTAAGACAAATTTTAGAAGTTTTTTCGACGATTTCATGTTCTTTCTATACAAATCTTCACCCATTTTGTAAGAATTCAACCATTAATAATTCAAATGATAAATGAGATAAATGCATTATTTTTTTCGATTTTCAGTTGTAATTCATCCAGCCAGAGTTGTATGCAAAATTTTACTGAAATCTGTGACATAGCCCATTTACTGTTACTTGACCTTAACGGTTATCTTCACCAAGGAATTGTATAGTACAAATCCTTGTCTTCACTATCAACAATGTATAACCTGGGAATAGAATACTAAATACATTATGTACAAAGCATATGATAAACTGTCAAACTGGGAGTTGTCAAAATCACGATTGGGAAATATTCGGTTATAAGTATAGATTTCCACCTGGTGAGAGTTTGCCCATGGCAAACTCTCTCACCAGGGTAGTAATCAGAAATTGAATACATATACATATATAATTAAATCATGGCAAACTCTCACCAGGTGGAAGTCTATACTTATAACTGAATATTCCCCAATCGTGATTTTGACAACTCCCAGTTTGACAGTTTATCATATCCTTTGTACATAACGTATTTAGTATTCTATTCCCAGGTTATTCATTGTTGATAGTGAAGACAAGGATTTGTACTATCAAGACAGGATAATCAGTTTGTTAGAAGTAAAAGTGGCCATTATCTGGTAGAAATATAATTCATAAGGTTTTATATGTCTCTTAGTTTATCGAATAATCAGATCGCTATTTGTTGAATACAAAACAATTATGGTTATGTACAATCTATGTCGCATTGAATATCAAAAATCATGTACTGTTGTTATTTGTGTTGTTGGGTTGATGTTTTATTCATGTTATCCGGATCTCTTTTATTCACGATTATGGGAGGACATGATAAGATATATATGCCGCCGTGAAATAACTATCCTTGCAGATTAGATGCATCTCAATAGATTAAGATACGGCATGTCTTCAAAATTTATCGTCAAATACAGTTGAAGAATATGGCCCGGGGGGGGGGGGGGATAATAATGTAAAAAATGACACGTTTTTCCCCCGTCTGTTAACTTTGTCCTATAAATTCAAAAGCAATCAATCTATACTCAATAACCCTTACTTATGATGAACCGATTTGAAATACATCAAACGGAGTTAAAACTATATATATGGATATATAAAAAGAGATTTGGGGTATATGATGAGATAAGCAAACCAACGACAAAAACAATCAGAAGGATATCAAGAGGGTGAAAAATTGTAAAAATTGTGAATAAATCTAACAGATTTACAAGTATTATATCTATCATTTAATCAAATCCTACTCAGAAATCCGATCCATGAGTACATTTTCTGAAAATAAGAGACGTTTTGTCATAGAAAGGGCCACTAAATTTGATTGACATATTTAATTCATGTGTCATCGCCCATTAATGTTACAAATCATATATAGCCACGCCTTTAATACTCATTAACATATTTAATCTGTCAAAGCTACGCTTTTCGTGAATTAAATACGTTAATTCGTTAAAGGCGTGCTATATATATAACTTATACTGCACAGCTCGGAGACCCGTCAAGTAGGGTCACCTAAGCTATACATTATAATTAACAAATACTGATTTTTCTTTTGGTCACATGACGCCACGAAGTTACTTGAACGTTTAGGAGATACACCGTTGTGCTCACTTAAATCATATCATACGTTTTTACAATTGTTTAAATTTATTGGTAAAGTACAAATTCCACAATTACCGTAAACCAACTTATTTTTGCGAGCGTTTTATTTTGCAACTTACGCGAGTAAAAACAAAATAATGCTAATATAAATCGTGGCGAATATGTGAAACTTGAATCGTCCCTTATAAAAATAAATCAAGAGACTATAAAATTGCAAGAAGAAGAAAAAAGTCCGCGAAGTTGGCTAGAAAGGACTATTCGCGAAAGTAAGTATACGCAAAAATAAGTTTGCCAACCGTATCCTTTTGAGATACACCGTCATATTCTAGAGGTGGCGTGAATCAGATGTGGATACTAAAAAATTCCAAAGATCTTTTAGAGTACATACAATCTAAGACTCTCTCATCTTGCAATAGTATTAAAACATTTGACTTTTCTACACTTTACACAAGTATTCCCCATTCCAAACTAAAAGACAAATTGAAAGAGTTGGTATTACTTTGTTTCATTAAAAAGAATGGCGAACGTAGATACAAGTATCTTGTCTTGGGGAGATAAATCCTACTTTGTAAAGAATCACTCTGATTCAAACAGAAAATTCTCTGAAACTGACATTATCAAGATGCTTGATTTCTTGATTGACAACATATTTGTTACGTTTGGAGGACGTGTTTTTCAACAGACTGTCGGAATTCCAATGGGAACCAATTGTGCCCCTCCTCTTGCCGACTTGTTTCTTTATCATTATGAGGCTAACTTCATGCAGGAACTTCTAAGGAAGAAAGAATAGAAGTTAGCAATATCCTTTAACTTTACGTTCCGCTATATAGATGATGTTCTCTCACTAAATAATACAAAATTTGGTGACTATGTTGAACGAATCTATCCCATCGAACTAGAGATAAAGGATACTACAGATACAGTTAAGTCTGCCACATATCTTGACTTACATCTAGAAATTGACAATGAGGGTCGGTTGAAAACAAAACTTTACGACAAAAGAGATGATTTCAGCTTCCCAATTATGAACTTTCCAGTTCTATGTAGCAACATTGCAGCAGCGCCTGCATACGGAGTATATATCTCCCAATTGATACGATATTCCCGGGCTTGTATTTCCTATCATGATTTCCTTGATAGAGGATTGCTGCTCACAAGGAAGCTATTAAACCAAGAGTTCCAAATGGTGAAGTTGAAATCATCCCTTCGTAAATTTTACGGACGCCATCACGAGTTGGTTGACCGTTATGGAATAACCGTTTCACAGATGAAATCGGATATGTTCCTTATGTCGTAACTACAATACCCTTCCCTTTTCATGAATATGACCTACCGAATTAGACTATTTACCGGATTTGTAATAACATAAGCAACACGACGGGTGCCACATGTGGAGCAGGATCTGTTTACCCTTCCGGAGCACCTGAGATCACCCCCAGTTTTTGGTGGGGTTCGTGTTGCTTAGTCTTTAGTTTTCTATGTTGTGTCATCTGTACTATTATTTGTCTATTTGTCTTTTTATTTTTGGCCATGGCGTTGTCAGTTTGTTTTCGATCTATGAGTTTGACTGTCCCTCTGGTATCTTTCGTCTCTCTTTTACACATTCGACGATTGTTCGTATGTCTACTTCATTTTGTACCGCGTACTTATAATACTTTATCATATTTAGTTCGGTTTTAAAAATTTGTAGGGATTACAAATTGATCGATTAAAGACAAATACTTAACATATATTCGTTATTAGTAATATGAACAAGATGAATAACTTTTGGGACTGAAGAGGAGCATTTCTCCTTTGGTTTGTATGACGTGTGACACAGTATGTTATCTCATCCGAGTTATATCGACACACGTTTTGGAAGGATGTAAACACTCGTCTATAAAGGGTAAATCTGCGTACTTGGAGACATTCCTGGTCTTATTGGTAATATTGTTTTCTCCTCCAATCGAATCATTCCTTTTAAAACTGACTCACAAGAAAATACGAATAAAGAAGTTTATAATAACCGAGAAAAGTATTGCTGAGGCTAATTGTCATTAATAAGCTATTGCAAAAACTTATTTAACCACTTCGAAGGTAAGGATTTTGAAAAATTTCTTTCCAAAAAATTAAATATTATGTAGATAAATTCTGTTAAATTTTAGACTTGTGGTTAATAACCCTTTTTTACACTAAGCACATGCAAACTAACAAAATAACGTATAAATTAAATGTTAAAAGTGTGAATGAATCACAGTTATCTCTTATACTACAACCATCCACATTTCCTTTTTTTTCTAATTGTAATATACTTTGGAGTATAAATAGAGAAGCGACGACAATTCTGAACGTTAGTTTTCTTTTTTGAATTGATTCACATTTTGCCATACCAGGGCGTATAATAGTTTACTATATATACGGTTTTGCTCATTTTTTAGAGCCGTACTTTCAGTGGCCTTTAGATGGTTGTTTACATCCCCGCCTTTTGGTCTCTGGTAAATAGTTGTCTCATTGGAAATCATGCCACATCTTCTTATTTTTTATGAGCTTTATTGATGCTGCTAAGGAACGATAGTAATCTTATTTTCAGAAAGGTCAAGTAAAATATCATTCATTAAAGTGCCGTATTTATTCACTTCTCTGTATTAAATTAGAAAGAAAGGACAACGAAGGGCACATAATGAACGAGAAAACAAACTTTAAAGAAATACTAGCAAATAACGAATTATAAAAGTAACAGCGCTTTCGTTGTAGTTATCCATCTTGAAATTGTACATGCATACCTATGCAAACAGATGATTTGCAAAAGCATATCATTATAAGCAAAACAAATAATAATACCGAAACTCATGAGTATTCCTTTTCAGAATAGAAGAAATCAGCTACAGTGTTCATTATGAGGTTTCTATTCATATCCCTATTAATTGGCGTTGGTGTTGGCACCGTAGTTCTTGCTCGTGAACTAAGAATACCAATATCTGGAACCATCAATATAGATGCCACCATTCTAGACGAGTATATAGAACAGAAAATAGAGGAGGAATTTGGAGGAATTAGTGGCATGAATGGAATAGGTAAAAATAGTAGTAAAAACATCCTCAACGGGTCCCTTGATTTAACTTTTGTTTTTTGTATTTAACATAAATTTACATCATTCATGCTTTAAGGAAATATTGAATAGAATGTTAATAACAAATCAAAGGTATTGTTAATACTGTATGTAAAGGTTAAATGAAGACGTACTAAAGTAAAGTCGATCAAAGTATCACGTGTGAATCTATGTTAGATGTGTACTACTTCAGCTACGCCAAACTATTTTAGCAATATCTATAACAACAATACATCCTGTCATTTAACCCAAAGGTTAAAAGCACCATTTAAACATTTTCTCGATTATCATTTTACAAAAACTTAAAAAAAAAATGAATAAAAACTTCAGGTACACTTATATATATATATAAGGGACCGATATTGAGAACATCTTAAGGTCAATCATGGGAGGTAGCTGGACAAGTTTAAGGGAAATATACAACGTAGGTTATAGCCTTTTTTTTACTGATGCACAATGATTTACAGAATATCGGATCATGGTTTGGAACCTATTTTCCAGATAACACATCTAAAAAGTGTTATAACTCTTAAAACGTCTTTCCAATGATAACAGTTTTTTTTTCTCTGTTTATTCCTAGATCTGCTTAATAAAGAGTTGTTGTATATACATCAATTAGACAGCAAACCAAGGACAACAAACATTACACCAAGGACAACAAACATTACACCAAGGACAACAAACATTACACTAAGGACAACAAACATTACACCAAAAGACATCTAGAGGTCAATACTTACGGTATTCAACAGTATAGACAATATGACAAAGCCAAAGCAGCTAACAGATCAAAAGTATATGACGATTTGACCTACATGTATGAAATTCTTCGGACAAAGTTGACCCTAAATGGTTTTTTATTAAGGGTTTTTCATTTGACCTAGTTATTTTTAAATGTTTTCAAACTCTTTATGTGGCTACCAAACATATATAGTCTCAAACATAGCTGATGGAGGTTGTTACATAATAATCTTTATTGCAAAATTACACCCATAAGGGTCAAGCAATACAAACAAACAATTATACATTTTAAATACAATGCAATACAATGTAATACAATACAATATAATAGAACATATTTTAAGAGTTCAATTATAAATTTATGTAAAAAAACACAATTATAAGCTTGTCTGACATGGGTCCGACCCCCTCAGTTCTAAAGACTGCTTAATAAAGACTCCAATATGACAAACAAGTTCAGAGATGGGGTTTAGAATGTGTTTTAGTTTATTAAATGCATCAAGATGTTGAAATAATGGTACATAGTCTTTTAGACAAGCAAAAAAATTAGAACGCAATGATATGTTAATGTCACAATACAAAAAGAAATGAAATTCGTCATCTAGGACTCCACATTTTTTACATAATCTTTGTGCTCTTGGAATGTTTCTTTACAGAACACGTGTTGCGGTCACCAAAAACTGTGTCATAGTTTATATTAAATTTTGTAGGAGACTGTGAGCCAGGATGGTTAGAGTACAAGGAACGGTGTTTCTTTATTTCTACAAATAGGAAATCCTGGTCAGATGCACAGGTGAATAAACTTTACATAATCTAAGCTTATTTGTATAAAATGTTCAAACGATCACATGTGGTTCAATCCAACTACAGCTTTTGAGTTGTTAATTATGAATGTTCTGTTGGCTTTTCAATAATAGAACCTCAAATTTCTGTGATGAGTTTATTCACAAGTACAACGAAATGTTTACCAATTATACCATTAACTGATGGCAGTTATTTCTAAAGTTCATAGCATACTTTCTTTTTGAAGGTACACTGTTACATTAAATCCATTATTTCAAATATGTTTAAAATAACTAATATGACATTAATTGTCGAAAGACGCATCTGGTGCATAAACACTGGTACAATTTATGTTATTATATTAGCTAGAGTAAATGAATTAGTCCATGCAATTAAATGTGTCTTAGACTTTTACTATACATTTATAAACATATAAATAGATAAACTAAGTATCTATAGAAAAATCCAAAATATAAAAATAAATCTAACAACAATTCAAAAATTTTATCCAAACAAAGAACCTACAATTGGTATATCACGAAAATCATTTTAATTTCTACTTCTCTTCAAGACTTACTGTTGGAGTTTTGGTGGTTACCTAGCAGAAATCCATGACAATCAAACTGACGTATATATAAAATCTCTTCTGGAAGAGGATGAAGGTAAAAATTAAACCTGTAAAGAAGTTCAAATTATGGTGGTTTGTGATAAAGGGGATCTTTTAATCAAATTAACCAAATTTTAGACATTTAATGGAGACTTGGGAATGTCAATGTAAAATTATGTCATATCCCATTGCATTAACATCACCCTTATAAATTTGAAATGAGCACCCGACAACCGCTGTCCTCTTCTAAACCAAAGCAAAATATTGTTCTAGAGTTCTTAAACATGTTTAAAGTGAATAACAGTCAGTAGATATTAAACAATCAATGGTAAAATGGAAATCTGTTAATGGAAATACAAAAACCAGGAAATGAACGAGACAATAGATGTACGGATCAACAAAAACAAACAACGAACACACACACACATGCACAAACACGCACACATAATAAAGCATTGAACATGTACCCGGTAACTTAATCACGATTTTAATTATTGGCCACTATCAGTATAACGCTTGAAACTAGAAATGTTTGTACAATGTAAAAACATCAGAGCATAGTGTTTAGAATAATATTAAAGGTGAAAGATGAAATATAAACACACATCTCCATAAATACTATATACGTCGCACATACTGATGGACAAAGTTAATTAATGGTTAACATTAATTTAAATGAAGAAAACTTTGCATGCCTATGTTAATTTTGTTGTTCTTAGGTTAATTCTGCCTTGATAATATAACACATTGTTAACAAGCCGGTCAATTAAGTGCCAGTCAACAACAAAAATAGATAAAGTGAAGGAAATTCAGCCCAATATTCTCCCTTTATGAGGGGCTTCCATTTGAAAACTTTTCCTAAAAGAAATACTTTAAAAATTGTTTTCCAAGCGTTTCTAAAATGTTTTTGCCTTTAAACATGTAGTTCCACAGTATTATTTGTTTAAACCAATTCCAAAGGATAAGGAACAAACCAATAAATTATAGTAAAATGCCCTTTACATTCTTCAACATGCTGCATATGAAAAATATTGTAGACAAAACAATTCGAAACTTAAAATTCTATAACATAGAATCAATCGGTCTCTTTTATTACAGAAAGAAATCAACGGATTTTCTTTATTGGTGCCAGTGACTTAGAAGGTGACACTAAATGGATATGGGCAAATTCCAAAAAGCCATTGAATAACATGTACCTGGGAAACTTTAATGCCACAGGAGGACACTGTGCTGCTATTATGGAGGAGGATCTGTCTACCTTTCGTTTGCATAATTTACATTGTGGCAGAAAGTTAAGATTCATCTGTGAAGTTGACAAAATATATTGACATCTTCACAATTTTGTTTTCCTTGGTTGTATGCAACAGCCAAGGCATTATGCATTATGCATTCATCATTCAATTGTGTCTGTTTTTTTTGTTCACACATCGTTGTCAATATAGTCAGGAATATGACATATACACATAGTAGTACAGTAATCTATAAATTCGAAAAATACATACTAAGATAGTACAGTAGTTTAAAAGCTCTACGACAGTACTACATAACTAATGGGTACATTTTCAGTTCTTTAAAAGTATAGTACTGAAGGAGTACACATACAGAAGTGGCTGTATAACATCGTTTAGTTTAAACATAGTTTATTTGCAAAATATCACAAAAAGGATTAGACACAAGTTAGTCCGACTTAGATCATCTTCTCTTAAGATAAAAAAAATAATAATCACATCGTTGTCAATATAATGGAATTTTATGCGACTGTCATACAAGTGAGAGGTTTAGCTAGCTATAAAACCAGGTTTAATCCACCATTTTCTACATAAGAAAAAGCATGGACCAAGTCAGGAATATGACAGTTGTTATCCATTCGTTTGATTTGTTTGAGGTTTTGATTTTGCCATTTGATCAGGGACTTTCCGTTTTGAATTTTCCTCGGAGTTCGGTATTTTTGTTATTTTACTTTTTTCATATCCTGTAAAAAGAGGCGAAAGATACCAATGGGACATTCAAACTCATAAGTCGAAAATACACTTACAACGACGTGGCAAGAAAATAAAAACACCAAAAGACAAACAACCGTATACAAAACATAGAAAAATAAAGACTGAGCAACACGAATCCCATTAAAAACCGAGGGTGATCTCGGGTGCTCCGGAAGGGTAATCAGATTCTGAAAGAAAAAACTATTATTTGTGTGTGTGTGTGTGTATGTGGATGATTACATTTAGCGTATAAGCATGTCATCGTTGGAAGAGATTCTTTAAAATATATTGAGTAATATTACCAATGAGTTCGTGTATTAACAGAAAGAATACCATTTTTTCTATGAAATCTATAAAATACCTACATTCAAAAGACAGATGCTTGTACACTTTATGTTTAAATAATAATGGAATTCTATAAGACTGTCATATAAATGAGGTGTTTAGCTAGCTATAAAACCAGGTTTAATCCACCATTTTCTACATAAGGAAATGCCTGTACCGAGTCAGGAATATGACATTTGTTTTCCATTCGTTTGATGTGCTTGAGCTTTTGATTTTGCCATTTGATAAAAGACTTTCCGTTTAGAATTTTCCTTGGAGTTAGGTATTTTTTGTTATTTTACTTTTTTTCAAAAACATTGATGCAGAAGTGAAACCAATAATCCATAAAATATAATACCAGTTGTGCAAATAAAACAACTTAATAAATAACATTGTTTGTCGTCGGTACGTTTTTGTTGTCCTATAACACAATCAAATAATGTTTCTTTGATTTTATCTTTTTTTATTTAACTTATAATTTTATAATCATTCAGTTTTTGCATTTGCTGATTTTGGTTCTTGTGTTTCTTTGTTGCAAACTTATAAAACATGCATTGCTTTATCGTTATATGCATTTTTTTTATCACACGTTGCGTGAGTGTTATACAAATGTAGCTCACACTTTTTAAAAATGTTGGGAAATTAAATATATAGTTCAAAGCATTATATTTAAAAATTTTGATTGATACATAGAAAATTCTGTAAGAATCAATTTTGCTGACTTGAAGAAGAAATTTCAAATTCTTTATTGATCTCTACTAATGCTCTACTTTTAAAAAGACTGAGCTATCAATTGTTCTTTGCTAACTGTCTATGTCTTTTTGCATATTCATCAATGAACTTTTGTCTGATAGGTATTGGCAGTACACCACAGTATGGTAAGAAGTGTCCTTGTTGAATTTGAAAATTCTTATTTTCATTCAGTTTTGCAGACAGATTTGATGTTTTCAAATCTTTTCTATTATTTAGTCTATGAAGATAGTTTATCCTTGATTGCATTTCATTATCTGCAAAAAACAAAAACAAAGTTGTTTGCTACAAATAACCAGGAGTAAATTGTCTTTCAAACACAAAAACAGTAATTTAATATGGTATGGTTAAATGCTACATCTACTTTGTATGTCTTGTAAGTTTTGAGCGTGGAACTGCTGCATTTCAGATATAAAAAAAAGGAACTAAAATCTAAACTTAATTTGTAAAAGGTAATAATGGCTAAATAGAGCCTGATGTGTTACTAAAATATGTACTTCAAATAACGACTCCATTTTCAAAAAGAGAAGATGTGGTATAACTGCCGATGAGATAACATACGAAATACTTAGTTACCTTTGTAAGTACAATGTAGATAAAAAGTCAAGAATGTGAACTGCTGAAAGTCAACGTATATCAACTATGTATTTAGGTTGAGTTAATGCTACCTAAACTACGGTATCTCAATGTATTTCAATAGATGTAATATTGACTTCACGGAAACCCACTTCTTATCGTTTCCCTGTGAAATAGATAATATAAATTGTGTTGAAAACGTTTTTTTTGCGGTCTAAACATTGAGCGTACTAGAGCCAAATAAAAAATATCAAAGCTTACTTTTTTTGGTCTTTTAAATATCGAGCGTACTTGAGCCACACACATAATTTATCAAGGCGATTTATAAACAACACTGATTGTATGTTATGAATATTGTTTTCATTGTCGAATAACATTGATCGTACCAATTTTTCTGTATCAGATTTGCATTTCGAAAATCAATGTCTCTTCAGTGATGCTCGATGCCAAACTATTTGAAAAATCCAAAGCTTATTAAAAGGATGAAGAGCTATAAACCAAAAAGGACAAAAATGTATAGCCAGAGCCGGGCAAGGAATCAGAGCTTTGCATGAGGGAGATATCACTTCTCGAGGAATTGTTTCTAGTCATGATGGTGTATAAATAGAGACATGCTTATCATTTTAAAGTTCATTAGTTAGATTTGTTCGTTTACTTTTCTTTGCTTAAATCCTGACAGTTCTGTCTGATATAAATATAAGATGTAGAACGACTTGACTGTGATACAAATAAAGCAAAATATATCTAAGGGCAATACACACAATGCATAACTCGAAATAAGACAACATATGTTTCTATATGGTTAAACAAATATCCTCCGGGTGCGGGAGTTTCTCGCTGCATTGAAGACCCATTGGTGGCCTTCGGCTGTTGTCTGCTCTATGGTCGGGTTGTTATCTCTTTGACACATTCCCCATTTCCATTCTCAATTTTATCATTAGGAAGATTGAATAAAAGACAACACTGAATAAGAAGCTGATGTTAATAGTCGAAATGAAGGTTTAACCAAACTACACAACATCAAACTATAAGTGGAATTACTTTTAAATTTTGTATAAATTAGTTTCCCCTCCCTTAAGGTAGCACTACAGTCTAACAATGATTTTTTGAAGATATTTTTTTTTATCACATAATTTTGAAGTAAGTATTATTCTGCACAGTTTGTAAAAATCCCAAAGTCATTATCATATCACAACAGAGAGTAAATTGATAATGAACGTATGTAAATAAAAGCACATGTAATTAATCTAAATATATAGGCATTTGGGAGGGGCTAATATGTCAATCATCTGTTGATACCAGTGTCCAGCTGTTAGTCCCTGACCACAAGATAAATATCTCATTGCATTGCAACAAAACTAATTTATAAAACATGGAAGTTTAGAACAGAGAAAAAGAAAAAGATATGAATAGGAAAAAATTTAAAGGGAAAAAATCTACCAAAATGAAAAAAAAAACTATGGAAAAGAGTGTGAAAGTATCTTTGAAAGCCTCTGACTGCCTGTATAAATTTCTCGTCTTTAGTCTTCTACATTTAAAAATAATTTTAGGCATTTTAACTAATTTTAAGTTTATGTGAAATTGTTTAATTCCATGAAACTCATAAATCATGTTGGACAGTCTATTTTCAAGAAGGGGATGGTCTTGATCTTTTTATGGACATGTATTTTAATTTCAATATTTTAGCTAATTTCAGTCATCATGGTCATATTATATTTCTTTTTAAAATTCAAATGAAAATTATTCTTTATAGTGAGAATAATGATGTTTAATATCAATTATGATGCAGCTGGCCAATCCTGTTATTCTCTTATCTTAGACTGTCTGGACAGAGGCGGAGCTTTGTCTCTATTTAATTACTACATCACAGATGTTGGTCAAATCTGTGACGTCAAACTCCCGCCAAATGCCAAGTTAGTGTTATACAGTGCACACAAAATGCAAATTTTACAGCATTAGAGCATCAAAGACACAATGTGTGTGGTTCTATTGATAAAGTAATGGTGTCAGAACACTCCTGGGGTGTTCCCAGTGGAATTTTTGTATTTATGTGGCATTTATATGGGTTCTTAAGAGGAAATTCAGTTTTAATGTCATTTCTCAGAACAATTTTTCATGAGAATTGTAAGGAAAAAATGAAAATAGAAACTTTATGGGTACCCCCTTTGGCTTGACTTTGATATATGTGATTGAAGGGAGTATTTTCTACAATACCGTGTCCCAGTTTTTGGATAATTTGTTTCTAAATGAATTTATAGGTCTCCAAAGATGAAAGGTGAAATGAGGTTTGGCATCCAGCAGTAAACAATAATATATCTTATTACTGGAGGCATATATCAAAAATCTGAGACACGGTTTTGTAGATTGTGAATGGTTGATTAAAGGGATGAAAACAAATTTTTACTACCATTTGACCTGAATGTGCCATTTTCATCCAAGTTGGAAGACCACTTTTTTGGCAATTAATGAGCTATATTTTGAGATTATTCATACCAAAAATAAATTTATCTATAGATAAAGAAAGAGTTATATTTCAGCTTTAAAATGAGTTAAAGATTTTAAAAATCCATTGAGTAGTTTTGGAGAAATTAATCTTTAAAGACTGTTGGTTGGAGTCAGAAAATTCTGACTGTAGTGCTACCTTAAAAGATTTTGGCAGAACATATAAATAGTGGCTCTAAAGAGCCTGTATCGCTAATCTTTATATCTTTTTATGCGTTTTAAACATTGAAAACTAGAATATGGTTATTGACTAAGATCTCTCTTTTGTTGATATTTTCATGCTGATCAGTCTTGCTATTTTCTTTATCTACTATAGTTCT